GCCCGGCATGAGTTTAAGCCACTGGGACTGGGACTTGAACCGCAGATGACCACATGGGAGTCCAGTGACATAGCCATTTATGCCAACTGCGGGTCCCTCAAGTATACATTTTAGGGCAAGCTCCTCCTAGAGTCTATGCTGCCGTCTTGGCTCAGAAGGCAGCTCAGGTTGCATGCATCTTAGAAGTCAGTTTTGTAAAAAGTTCCCTGACCGAGGTAAGAAGGAAATAAGAGGGAAAGATAGAACAAAGAGAGAAAAATACAAACAGATCTGTGACTCCTCAGAGCAGTTATTTCTGTAACAGCTCGGGAGGAGAACATTTTCAAAGTCTTCGCAAGCTTCAGCATAATTCGGTACAATTTGCATGACTCAGATTCATACGTGTGTCCTGACAGTGTCCCTTCCTGATTTCAGAACGTAAAATTATGTGGAATAATGGCTATGTGGGATCTAGCCTGGCCATGAAGGGGCTAGAGCCCCCTTAGCCAACTGCGGAATTCAAGTCCCAGATCCAGCAGCTTGAAAAACACACCAAGTATATGTGTGAGCATGCCCGAAATCCCAGCGGGACGGGCTGCAGTGTGACCATACCTCACTGGGAGGTGATTTCCTTCTCTCTCTTTCTCCTCCTCTCTGGCAAGAACACACACCCTCTACATTGTTTTTTTTTTTTTTTTTTTTTTTTAACTACTTTAAAAAATTATTTAATTCCATTTGTTATTGTTATTTTTTAATTTGACCAGACAGAGAGAAAGGGAAAGCAAGAAAGCAAGCCTTCAGGTCCGGGACTCAAACCACAGTCGGTTATGTGGGAATCCAGCACCATGCCACCTGCTGGCCTCTACAATTTTTTTAAAAGAGAAATTTTTGCTATAGGGTGCATGTGCTTGCCAGAGAGGCAGAGAGACAGAAGGTGAGAAATCACACACACACGCCCTCATCCAGGGAGATTGTCACACTGCAATCCCTACTCCTCCATTCTCCTCTCAGGATCTTGGACACACACACAAACACACACATACGTCACCGGCATGAGTTTTAAGCCCCTGGGTCCAGGTTTCGAACCACAGTTGACTATATGGGAGTCTAGTGATGTAATCATTATGCCATCTGCTGGTCTCAATTAAAAAATAAATAGGTAGATAAAATTAGGTTCGATGCTTTCTCCTGATATCTCAAACTTAGTATAGCAGACTTCAATATTATAAAGTGGCACTTTAAATTGAGATCGAGATACTATATCATACAAAAATAAATAAGCTGTTAATTCCTTACATATCGATGCCAGAAAAAATAGAGGATAAAAAATACGTTTCACTAGTTGATATATTCTGAGTTCGAAGAATTGATGAGTGATATTGTAGGAACTGATTCAGAGTTTGACTGGAATTCACTGAAAGGGCCAGCTCTGCTCTTTTTCCTCCTCAGTTTAAATTTTATTTGTTTACAGTATATGCGTTTAGAGAAAATAAGACTTCTGCTTTTTCCTTTCCCATTTTTTATAGTTCTAATTCCCATTACCCTACCAGCCAAGTGCTCACTGCCTCTGGTTTAAGGTGAGGCTGACCTAGAAGTGAATGCGGCGTAATTGCCAGACTCTTGAAGCCTCGCAATTTTCCAGGTTCAAAGGCCATCATTTGTCATGATAGAATTTCAGGCACGTAGACAGGTACTGGGGAGCCATTTTGAAAACTAAGTCCATTCCCTTCGATTTATTTTACAGAAGCAATTTCTTATGCAAGGCAAGTTTTGAGTGCAGAGTACAGATTTTCGTTACTCTTCAGCTTGCCTTAAGTTTTCAAAACCTAACAAAGCTGAAAATACCCCACTGAAGAATGACAGTCGGGCCTGGCGGTGGTGTGGTATTTAGGGCAGCTGGATCCCAAGTGGCCAATTGTATGGTTCAAGTCTTAGACCCAGCAGCTTGAAAATCATTCAAGGGGTGGCTGGTGGCGTGGTGGTTATGGGTGTGCTGGATTCCCATATGGCCAACCGTGGTTCAAGTCCCAGACCTGGCAGCTTGCTTTCTCACTTTTCCTCTCTCTCTCTCTCACTCTGGCCCTCTCTGGTCAAATCTAAATAAATAAATAAATAAAAAATAAATAAAATAAAGTTAATTTCTAAAAAAAGAAAGAAAGAAAGAAAGAAAATCACGCCAGATACATACACATTTGTGCGTGCCCAAAATCTTGAGAGGAGGTTGGAGAAGGGATTGTAGCCTGACCATCGCCCCTGGAGAGGTGATTTCTCACTTTTTCTCCATGTCTCTATTTCTCACTGGAGAGCGCATACACCATATCACAAAAGTTTAAACAATAAAGACAGTCATTGACGTCCAAATCCTTGAATTCTAAACCATTGGCTGATTACCCTTAGACTTCAGTGGACCCACTGTGCGGCTGCTGTTAGTAAGAGCTAAACAAGGAGGGCCAGTCAGGTCGCATGATGGTTAAGGTAACTAGATTCTACATGGCCAACTCTAAGGTTCAAGTCCCAGACCCAGAGGCTTGAAAAACACACCAGGCATGCGTGCATACATGCCCAAAATATCCCTAGAGGAGAGCAGAAGAGAAGGGGTTGTGCATGGCCATCCTCCCTGGGGGTGCTTTGTCACTATTTCTCTCTAGTGAGCACACGCACCCTACAGCAAAAAACAAAGACCAAGGAGTAGAATCAAAGTAGGGAGAGCTGTAAGCCTTATGATAGGACTTTTAAAAAATAATTTATTTTTTAACTTGCTATAGGGCGTGTGCACTTGACAGAAGGGTGAAAGTGAGAAAGCAAGACTCCAGGTATGGGACTTGAACTGCAGTCGGCCATGTGAGAGTCCAGTACCTTAGCCACCATGCCATCTGCTGGCCCCAAGGATAGGATTTGTCAGAAAGCTACAGGGGCTACTGATGACTGCAATTCCACAGTTAAAGATTCGTTCTCGGGGCCAGCAGGTGGTACAGTGATTAATCGTGCTGGACTCCTACATAGCTGACTGGGGTTCAAGTTCCAGACCTGGCAGCTGGCTTTTTTCCTTTTCCTTTCTCATCTCTGTGGTCAAATTAAAGAATAATAACAAATGAAATTAAATAAATAATTCTTTTATAAAAAAAATTTTTTATAAATTTTATTTACTCATTTACTTATTTTATTTTGACCAGAGAGTCACAGAGAGAGAGAGAGACAGAGAAAGTGAGAAAGCAAGCCACCAGGGCCAGGACTTGAACCGTGGTTGGCCATATGGGAATGTCCAGTGCCTTAACCACCACACCACCCGCTGGTCCCCAATAATTCTTATTTTAAAAAAATCCATTCTCTTTCCAATAAAATGGAAATACCCTGGCAAAAGGTCATGTCTTATCCAATAACCTCAACGTACAACAGAAGCACTTCAGCATTTGGTGAAGTTCATGATTTCTGTGAGACAAAGCCCTTGAATCTGACAGATAATTAGCTCCTGAGAGTCCTGGTCTGACCCAGTCAGAACCAAGATGGCACCTGGAAGGACTTCCACCACCTGACCATACCCCAGATTAGCATACGGGTGACACTCCCACCTGCGCAGCTGGAGTAACCCTGGCAAGGACCGTAAGTGCCCTGATAAGGCCAGCAAATAGGGGTGACATGTTTCCAGGAAATCCACTACCTCTTTGCCGCAGAGAAGTCAGGAATAACCCCCCCCTATTTTTTAATTATGTATTTAATTCTTTTTGTTATTATTTTTTAAATTTGACTAGAGAGAGACAGAGAAAGGGAAAGTGAGAAAGCAAGCCTCCAAGTCCAGGACTTGAACTGTGGCTGAGCACGTAGGAATCCAGCACCTTTAACCACCATACCACCTGCCAGCCCCACCCTTTTTTTTAATTAAGATTTTTGCAATAGGGCACTTGTGCCGGCTGGCGAGACTGAGAGCAAGAAAGTGAAAAATTACCTCTCACTCTCCACCCACCCACCCACTGCCCTCTACCTCCCACCCCCCACTCTGGGGAGAGGTACCCATGATCCCTAGACGAGACCAGAGGAGAAGGGATTTCAGCATGTCCATCCCCCCAGGGGGTGATTTCTTGCTTTCTGTCTCTCTCTTTCTCCAGCAAGCACACATACTCTATAGCAAAAATCTCTCTCTTAAAAACTAAAATAGATAAATCTCTAAAAAAAGAATAAGAGGTGCAGGATTGACATGGTGTGGGAGTAGGGATAGGGATGTGGAATCAAAGGTAAACACTCATAAAACATGGTCTAGCAGACATTTGTTAGATGGCCGAGGACAGAGAATATTGGGCAGGGTCGGGCTGTACCACATCCTCTGCACCAGCCCTCTGGGGCACCAGAGCAAACCCCCAGCAGCATGTCTCCAGGCTGACCCTGGAATCCAAACCTGCAGTCAGCCATGTGGCTTCCAGCATCGCAATCCGCTACTCTATTGACGATACCACCCAGGCTGGGCTCTACTTGACTATTTAAGCCACTCCAGGGAGGTACAGAGAAGGCCTAAAGGGAGTATTAATGCAAAAACAACAGAAGAGTACACAGTGTTATAAGCCTGCCACCCACCTTTAAAGGCCGTGGCCCCCATTCGGTGGCTCTCTGCCACGTCAGCAGAGTAAGTTTGGTTGTTGCTCCGCCCACCTTTATTCCCTTCCTGTATAAACGCATTCTTCTCCCTATTCAGTGCATAAAATTTTGCTTCAGAAACATAGGTTTTAGGGGGCCAGCAGGTGGTGGTGGTTGAGGGAACTGGATTCCCACATGGCCGACCATAGTTCAAGTCCTGGACCTGGTGGCTTCCTTTCTCATGTTCCCTCTCTTTCTCTGGTCAAATTGGAAAATAATGTTAAAAAAATAAAATATAGGTTTTGGGCCATCGAGTTTAAGGCATTTGATCCCACATTGTCAACCGTATGGTCTGCGTCCTGGACCCAAGGACTTGACAATCACACAGGGCACATATATGTGGGTGCCACGAATCCTGAAAGGACACTGGGGAGGAGGGGTTGCAACATGGCCACTCTCAGTGACCAGAACAGCTGCTTTTCTCTCTGGAATCATCCTATGGCAGAAGGCTGGAGTAGGGGGAGGAGATTGCCTTCCTCTTCTCTCATAGGATAGGGAGCATGCAGGCTCAGAACTTATGCTCACCCTGATCTAGGCCTCGTTCCTCTTCCAGGGAAGAACAACCAAATCCTTATCCAGGAAAGAGCACCTAACCTCTTCCCTCGGTCCTCTCTAAGCTCTGCTTTGAGGAGGATGGTAAAGACTCTAGTCTCTAGGAAGCTGCTCTTGTAGGGTGCTCAGGCCCCACCCTCTGCCCTGACTCAGGCCAGTCTGTCCTGGCAGGTCTTCCCAGGGCTGACCCAACTTCTCAACATGGATTCCTGCCTCTACGGGGGCCTTCCTCGCCCAGCCTGCCTCTCTGCTGAGCACCCTACACTGCTCTTGATCCCACCAGCAGTGGGACTGGGCACTCTTTGGAGGGGCCTTGCAGCTTTACACTGGAATAAGTTTACCTTTGCCCCACCTGCTGGCTCCCTAGAAATCTTACCACAGGTGAAGGTTGGCCATGCTGGAAGGGGATTTGTAGACACCTTCCAGGAATCATGAAATGACAGAGCATGTTTAGAGACTGTTTCCCTCTGACCCCTGTCTCTCAAAGGATACTGATAACTATTTATTGTCTTAGATCATGGTTTTCTGGTACCTCCCACTCAAGAGGACCAAAAGGAACCCCCAGTATAAATCCCATGTAAGATGAGTTCCACATATATTGTTTCTTCCCAGTCATAGACTACTGGCACCAAGCCCAATGGTAGACAGGGTGCCTGGGGCCTGCCCTGCGCACCCCAGCTGGAGGCTGAGTCCCAAAGGACTCCTCAGGATGTCGGGACTGGGCCAGAGAGGCACTTTCTGTGACCAGCAAATCACTCTGGGTGGTGAGCCCAGTAATTTCTCAAATATTTTTTCCTCCACGTCTCCCAGGTCTTGGTTTTGAGAAACATAGCAGGCCTTTTGTACCAGGTTTTTTTGTTTGGGGAATGTTAAAATATTTTTAAAGTTTTTTGTTGTTGTTATTGTTTTATCCACCCTATTTCAGGTTATTTTTATGATGTCAAATATATCAATGACATGTGTATGGTTCTTTTTAATAACCCTTTCTGGTTCTTTTAGAGGAAAATTGGAAGATAAACTTGATATATATTTTTTTCTTTAGCTACTTGTTATCACTGGAATCAAAGGGAAAAAGTGATCTCTTTTGCATTGGTCGTATTTGTATGTCACAAATAAAAGACACTTTGTTCAGCTGCTGAGAGAGCTTCTTGATGCTGGGGTACCATGGGCAGCCTGGCTCAGGGGAAATCCCTGACCCCAAGACCATCCCAGTGGTGGGCCTAAATCCTGGGAGACGCATGGCTGTGATGGCCCCAGGCCCCTTGCCATGCAGGAAGCCTGGGAGACCTCAAGATGTTGGGATAGGCAGCCAGACGTGGGAATGGAGACCATGTGTATGTTTATGCCACTTTCCAGAATTATCGATAGAGGCAAAAGGTGTTCTGAGGAGTGCCGGCTTTGCATCCTGGAGATAGTTCCAAGCCAGGCATTGCAACATTTGATTTCTGCCACCACACCTAAATTCCAGTGCCCATGTATGGAAGCTAAATAAGTGACAGTGTTTCTTTTCTTCCTTTTATTTTATTGAGTGACTCATCGTATTGTCTCTTAAAAAGACTCCTTTTCCCTCTGCTAATAGAAGCCGAAGACCAGAAGAAAGATAGTTCACGTTAGGCTTGTGGGACAGGAAAGGTAATGGGAGGGGGCTCTGGCCCCCTCCTGTGACTGATGGGGCTGTGTAGCTTGTCCCCTATGCAGGGCTGGTGAGGAGCTGGAACTCAGAGCACTTCCTGTGGAGAGCAGAGCATCAGCCTTGTTTTGCTCCCCCTCAGTGATCCTCATCTGCTAGAAGGTGGGAGGAGGATGGGTGGAGCCGCTGGTCCTTAGGGAGTGTTCCTACCTGGCAGAGCAGTGATCTGGGGAAAGGGGAAACAGGGTTCATAGCTGTTCAGTGTGTACAAGATGCAGCCTGTGCCCTGTGGGCCAGGACACCCCCAGGGGATGGTTTGTACAACCATCTTATCTTTCGGCCCCAAGGAAAGATACTACAAACCTTGGAAAGTGAGAGAGCAATCTGTTGGGCTAATCGGATAAGTTTTTCATGTGACATAATTCTGTTCCCTCTCCCAAGTTCTTTATTCCTTGGAGGTTGTGTTTATTTATTTCTTTTATTTGTTATTATTATTTTTTAAATTTGACTAGAGAGAGACAGAGAAAGGGAAAGTGAGAAAGCAAGCCTCCAAGTCCAGGACTTGAACTGTGGCTGAGCACGTAGGAATCCAGCCACTCTAAGCTCCACCCACCCACCCACTGCCCTCTACCTCCCACCCCCCACTCTGGGGAGAGGTACCCATGATCCCTAGACGAGACCAGAGGAGAAGGGATTTCAGCATGTCCATCCCCCCAGGGGGTGATTTCTTGCTTTCTGTCTCTCTCTTTCTCCAGCAAGCACACATACTCTATAGCAAAAATCTCTCTCTTAAAAACTAAAATAGATAAATCTCTAAAAAAAGAATAAGAGGTGCAGGATTGACATGGTGTGGGAGTAGGGATAGGGATGTGGAATCAAAGGTAAACACTCATAAAACATGGTCTAGCAGACATTTGTTAGATGGCCGAGGACAGAGAATATTGGGCAGGGTCTGGCTGTACCACATCCTCTGCACCAGCCCTCTGGGGCACCAGAGCAAACCCCCAGCAGCATGTCTCCAGGCTGACCCTGGAATCCAAACCTGCAGTCAGCCATGTGGCTTCCAGCATCGCAATCCGCTACTCTATTGACGATACCACCCAGGCTGGGCTCTACTTGACTATTTAAGCCACTCCAGGGAGGTACAGAGAAGGCCTAAAGGGAGTATTAATGCAAAAACAACAGAAGAGTACACAGTGTTATAAGCCTGCCACCCACCTTTAAAGGCGTGGCCCGCATTCGGTGGCTCTCTGCCACGTCAGCAGAGTAAGTTTGGTTGTTGCTCCGCCCACCTTTATTCCCTTCCTGTATAAACGCATTCTTCTCCCTATTCAGTGCATAAAATTTTGCTTCAGAAACATAGGTTTTAGGGGGCCAGCAGGTGGTGGTGGTTGAGGGAACTGGATTCCCACATGGCCGACCATAGTTCAAGTCCTGGACCTGGTGGCTTCCTTTCTCATGTTCCCTCTCTTTCTCTGGTCAAATTGGAAAATAATGTTAAAAAAATAAAATATAGGTTTTGGGCCATCGAGTTTAAGGCATTTGATCCCACATTGTCAACCGTATGGTCTGCGTCCTGGACCCAAGGACTTGACAATCACACAGGGCACATATATGTGGGTGCCACGAATCCTGAAAGGACACTGGGGAGGAGGGGTTGCAACATGGCCATGCCCCCCAGAGGGCAGTTTCTTACTCTCACACTCTCTCTCTCTCTCTCACTCTCTCTCTCTCACTCTCTCTCTCTCTCTGGCAAGCTCATGAGCTCTGCGGCAAAAAGAAAAAACTACATAGCATTTAGGGAGAGTTAAAAGGCAGATTTTATAAATAAATGCTATTGTTTATGAATCTTACATTTTCCCCACATTAATTTCTTGAGGGATGTCTACAAAGACAGTAATTTTACAGGTTTATTATTATTATTTTCATCATTATTCTACAATGCTTCACTTTTAAAAGGCAAAACATTATTGTTCAAATATCTTTTACTAACTCTATCTAATATCAGAAGTTTTGTAGGTTCCGAAGATGATCATGATTAAACTTGCTTGAATAAAACTATAGGGATCTGCTCTGAACCCACAAAAGAAATTAAATGCACAGTTAAGACTGATTTTCATCATCAGGTTGCAACAGGGAATTGCCTTTAAAGCCGTCTCCTGCTGCCTTCATTAGAGCCTTGATCTCTTGCTGCAAATTTATATTCCTTTGTGGGTTTAAGGCAGATATTGGATATCCTTTTAATCTATATTTATTAGGCGAGCTATTGATGAGTCGCGTCCTGCCACAGATTTGTGAGCAATGTTTCTGTGGCCACTCTGGTGGGAGCCCTAAGTGAATACCTCCTCAGGATAGGTGGCCATTTTTCTTTTCTTTTTTTTAAAACAGATTTTTGCTATAGGACACGTGTGCTTGCTAGAGAGACAGAAAGCAAGAAATCCCTCCCTGGGTGGGATGTTAACGCTGCAATCCCTTCTCCTCCATTCTCCTCTCGGGATTTTGGGCACACATGCACATGTGTGCACAAGCCCAGCATGAGTTTCAAGCCTCCAGATCCAGGACTCGAACTATGATCAGCTACGTGGGAGTCCAGCAATGTAACCATTATGCCATCTGCTGGTCTCAAGTGGCCATTTTTCATAGGGTAAGTGACAGTAAATAAGCAAAACAGACAAGTTAAAAATACACATTTGGGGGAATGGCTGTCACCGGACTCCCACGTAGTCGACCATGGTGCAAGTCCCGGACCTGGGGACTTAAGCTCACGCTGGGCACATGTACGTGCGTGCCCAAGATCCTGAGAGGAGAATGGAGGAGAAGGGATTGCGGCATGGCCATTTCCCCTGGGGGGTGATTTCTCACTTTCTGTCTCTCTGTCTGTCTCTGTCTTTCCAGTGAGTACACGTGCCCTATAACAAAAACTTCTCAAAAAAACAAAACAAACAAAAGAAAAACACCCACGTTTTTGGAGCTGGCAGGTGGCGTGGTAGTTAAGGCACTGGACTCCCACATGGCTGACTGCAGTTCAGGTCCCAGACCTGGCTGCTTGCTTTCTTGCTTTCCCTTTCACTCTTTTTCTCTCTGTGTCTCTAGTCAGAGTAAAATAAGAACAAGTTAAATAAAAATAATTTTAAAAATTATTTTATTCATTGTCATTTTGTTTATTTATTTATTTAACATTGACCAGAAACAGACAGATAGAAAGGGAAAAATGAGAAATCAAGCCACCAGGTCCAGGACTCAAACCCAGTGTATATCTCAAGCAGCAGGTGGATCCAGGACTTGAACCGCACAATTGATCATGTGAAATCTAGCCACCATGACACTGGGTGGTCTCAACTTTTCCTATTTTAGGAATGAATAGAATCTAATTTTTTTTTTTTTTTTTTTGAGAGATTTTTGATATAGAGTGTGTGTGCTCACCAGAGAGACAGAAAGCGAGAAATCACCCTCCCAGGGGGGATGGCCACGCTGCAATCCCTTCTCCGTTCTCCTCTTGGGATCTTGGGCATGCATGCACACATGCCTGGTGTCTTTAAGCCACTGGGTCCGGGACTTGAACCATGGTCAACTACATGGGAGTCCAACGACATAGCCATTACGCCAACTGCTGGTCCTAATATGTGCTTTTAAAAAAATTAATTTTTATTTATTCATTTATTTTAATTTGACCAGAGAGAGACATAGAAGAAAGTGAGAAAGGAAGTCACCAGGTCTGGGACTTGAACCATGGTCAGCCATGTGGGAGTAACCAGCAACTTAACCACCACGCCACCTGCTGGTCCCCTGTATGTGATTTTAAAACTGTATATATCCTGGGTCCAGCAAGTGGCACAGTGGTTAATGTGGCTAGAACCCACATGGCCAACTACGTGGTTTGAGCCTGGGCACAGTGACTTGAAAAACATGCTGTACGTGTGTGTGCGTGTGCGCGCGTAGTCACAAGAGGAAAATGGCATTCCCTTGGGGGGTGGGGGGGTGACTTCTCACTTTCACTCTCTCTCTCTCTTTCTGGTAAGTACACATGTCCTATAGTAAAAACTGAAAAAAAAAATTGTATACATTCTGGTTTTTTTTTTTTTTTTTTTTTGAGAGTTTTTTTTGCCATAGGGCACGTGCGCTCTCCAGAAAGATGGAGACAGAGAGACAGAAAGCGAGAAATCACCCCCCAAGGGGGGTGGCCATGCCGCAATCCCTTCTCCTCCATTCTCCTCTCGGGATCTTGGGCACGCACGCACACGCGCTGGTGTGAGTTTAAGCCATTGGGTCCGGCACTCGAATTGCAGTCGACTACTTGGGAGTCCAGCAATATAGCCATTACGCTAACTGCTGGCCCTACATTCTTCATCAGTGTCTTAGTCTATTTTTTGTTGCTCTAACAGAATTCCACGAACTGGATAATTTATAATAAATAGAAATGTATTGTCGGGGCTGGGTAGTGACTTGGTGGTGGTTAATGGCATGTACTCCCACATGGCCGACCATAGTTCGAGGCCTGAACCTGGCAGCTTGCTTTCTCAACACCCACTCCCCCGCCCTCTCCTCCCCCGGCCCTCTCTGGTCAAATTGAAACAAACAAAGTTAAATAACTCTTTAAAAAAAATTCATGTATCTCTCAAAGAGAAATTAAATACTATACCATGGGTCTTTCAACAGAAAAGCCAGGGAAACAAGAACTATGGACTGAAAAACAAACTGCAGGGCCAGCCAATGGCCTGGTGATTAAAGCAGCTGGATCCCACATGACCGACTGTCCGGTTCAAGTCCCAGACCTGGTAGCTTGAAAAACACAGTGTGATCATGTGTGTGCCCAAAATCCTGAGATGAGAATGTAAAGAGATGAGACTTCAGTGTGGCCATCCCCCTTGGGGTGTGCTTTCTCACTTTCCCTCTCCCTGCCTCTCTCCAGGGAATACACACCCCCTATATTTAAGAAAAGAAAAGAAAAAGAGAATCTCTTAAGAGAAATTCCTTACTTAATAGATTGCTTTCTGCCAAGCAAATTTCCAGTTCCTTCTCAAAGGTACTGAGTCCCAGCAGGGGGTTGGGGACAGCTATTCTCTCAGCAGTATTTGTCAGTACATACGGGTCCTATTCTCATCTGTCCAGAGAGACATTCTCTTCCTCTTTTTCTGTGGTTTTGCATTGTTTTTTATTTACCTCTGAGCATTGCCTCTGTCTCCTTTGTCTTAAGGAGTTCTTCGCTATATACATGAATTTTACTTAGTGCCTTTAACATAACATAACCATAATTTTTAAAAAAAATTTAATTTTATTATTATTTTCCTTTGCTATGGGGCACATGTACTTACCAGAGAAGAGAGAAAGTGAGGAAGTCAGCTACCAGGTCCAGGACTCGAAGCACCGTCAGCCTTGTGGGAGTCCAGTGCTAAAACCACTATGCCACCTGCCAGAACCCAGGCTCACTTTTAATACCTGCATTTAGCTTTGCTTTTCTCTGTAGAGATTAAAATGAATAAAGACGGAAGAGCTGGAGGAGAGAACAGTTTTG